ATCCTATTCGCTCCGTACGGTTCTGCAGGCTCAAACTCTGCAAAAGTAAAATTCTCCTCTAGGCTGTCCTTAATATGGTAAAATACTACCTCGTATCCCTCTAGCTCTTTCGCTGTTTTACTTCTGTCGCTTGCGCTGATGTACGACCATTTTTTAGTTTCTTTGTCCACTTTAAACGGGTGTATAAAATCTGAGTTCTTTGCCATTTCATACAGCTCCTTTATATATTCTACTATTCCATCAATTGTGTGCAAGTATTGCTCTTCTTTGCTCTCTTCTCCCTTGTAGATAGGCATGCACAGTCTTCTGGGCTGGCCCATTGTATTGTCCACATAGTACACATGGTAGTGGCTATGCTTAACTGGCGAGACACTCCATATGCCCTCCTCAAACGAGTAGCTTGGAGCTGACATTCTCTCTTCCGGCTTGCCTGCTGCCATGTTTACCACTATTTCTCCTTTTATCTGTCTCTGCTTCTTTATTACGTACTTGCCTACCAGAACATATCTGTTGTTTTTGTCAAAAATCACAGCTTTTTTGTAGAACTCCACAAGAAAGCTATATATGTGTGCATACAGATCCACAGCTGTGGCCTGCAGCATTCTTGCTTCGCCAAGCACACTTTTAAGCATATTGTACAGCTTAGCGTATGCAGCTTCATCTATTATTTCTCCTATATGCATACGCATTATTTCTCTCATTACCAATATAATCTGAACATTCCTCTTATTTCTGTCCTTGTCGTCTGACATACTGTTGCACGTCTCTTCTATAAACTTTTCGCTGATCTTAGAAAAGTCCTGGTACACTTCGGGCAGCATTATAATCATGTGCATAGCATATGCGAGTGCGCGGTGCCTACTGTCTACTTGGGCAATATTTCTCTGTTTCTTAAACATTTTATAGTTTACTTTAGGGCACTCACTCATGTAAATATCGCCTAGGGTCCTTTTCCACTCGGCTGGAAACTTGTCTTCTCTTATTTTCATTGGCTCGTTCTCTTCCAGATATGCTATCAAGTCATCGACTATACCAGGATAGTACCCTGCAAAACTCTCTACCATTTTTTTGTATGCAGTGTTCTCACTGTTCACACACAGATACTTTGTCCCGAAAAGATACCTGTGTTTTGGATTTAACCGTGTGGGCCTGCTTGCAAGAAAATAGAGGAACCCGTTATCCTTTATCAGAGAAGAAATGTTATCAAAAAAATACTTAATGTCGTTTTTAAGCTTTCTTTGATACACATTGTCTTTTGCTAGACCGTTTAGATATTTGGCTGAATGCCTGCACTCGTGCAGATTGTCATAAGTTATTACATGTCTGTGTCTTACCAAGTTTGTCAATTTTGTGCTCTGCCAGCGGACCATACTGTGCTCTTTTGGAGCTATGGTTTCCTTGTTTTTCTTCCCAGCAGACGCTCTGAGTCTCGAAATCATCTGTATATAATTGTCTATTGCCGCTTCAATCTCAGCATCTATATATTCATCATCATCTTCTCTTTTATCATCTACGTATACACTATCTTCTTCTTTTCTTCTTTTTTCTCCTGCTACACTCTCAGATCCATCCACTGAACTGTCTACCGTGCAACTAGCTTTTCTTTTTCCTGCACTAGGCGAGCTGGCACTTCTGTTACTATCTGCTTTATTAAAAACATTTTCATACGTATCAAGGTTTTTTATATCCTGCTGAGTCAAATTATACTGCTTTGCAACATCTTCTATGTCTCCAGCCAGGCCAACCCAGGGTTTATCCACCATGTCAAAATTATTATAATCGCATTCTTTTTCATTAGTTACAGCATCTAGAGCTGGGTTCGGATCCAAGGAATCATGATTAGCTTTGCTATTTCTCTGTCTTGCTGTGCCACCCTCTCCTATCATGGGATCGTCTGTAGATCTTTCTGCGCTGGAGCTATGTCCTCCCCCTCTGCACTCTCTGATAAAAAGAGAAAGAAGCACTACAAGTGCACTTACCATGTTCTTCATTTTGTGATTTTTTATGCGAAAATATCGTTTTTTTCTATTTATAATTTCAGTTGGGGAAATACTCCTTACTCCTTGTCCCTATGCGTATTCTACCATACAAATCTTCTGATAGCATTCAGCTATATACTATACCCATGCACAACAGCTACTAACACTTTAGGTATTTTGAATTTATGCTACTTTTTTGTTTGTATAGTACTAGTATTATTCAGACTGATTAGATAGCCCAACAAACCATACAGATTTTATTCCAATACTAGATGTTCTCCTATGTTTCTATGGAGAAAGAGCCACCTTTTCTCAATAGACTAATTAGATGCGCTCAGAGAATACCACCAATGAAATTTAACAGCAGTACAAATCATGTAGAAGAAGAAAAGAGCTAAAACTTTAAATTATTTTCTCCAATTAAAACTTTTATAATGACCACAAGAGAAGTTAAATTAAAAATAAATGTAGATGAGACAATAAAAGACCTCCAGTCTAGCAAAACTATAAATAGCATGTTCAAAGGTGCTGATTTTAATTACGAAGCAAGCCAGCTGATTATAATAGAGAAAATATTTGAAAATATAGAAATAGAAAATGCTCAGCATGATGGCAATAAAGAAAATAGCCAGTATAGTAAAAAAGAAAAAGAAACTGTCTTGGAGATAATCAAGAAAAAAGTCTGCAAATACTTTATGTATCAAGAGGCTAAAAACGCAAAAAGTATACATAATATGCAAAAAGAACTGAAGGCTAGAAATACCGATGGCATTCGAAACGAATGCATTAATCTAATTAATAAAATCGCTGAGAAAAATCTATTTATATACAGCCCAGAGCATGGAATAGACATGCAGATAGATAGGCACAAGAAGAAAGAGAAAATAAACATACCTAATAGCGCCACCAGCATAGGCACTAGAACGTGCACACTGCAGATAGACGACACAAAGTTTTCAAACCTAGAAAGCTTACTTGAGTACTTTGAAGAGAGCATATATAGAGAATTTCTTTATGATAATGTATTTAACACTTTTGGGCAGGAAAGCATAGATATTTTGAGGAGCTTTTTGCCAATAGAAGAATACCACACTCTTAATGAGTTATACACTGAAAAGTACGAGAAAACGGATGTGCTATTGATAGACTATACATTGGCTCTTATTAAGAAAAAATACTACAAAATCAAAGAATTAGCAGAGAAAATCAAGAAAGAGAAGGCCAATCCCGATAGTGAGTTGTATAGTGCCATTGAAACAGAAATTAAAAACACGTTCAGAGACGAAGAGTTAAAGGCTCTCTTTTCCTTTAAAAAGCATATAGAAACAATTGACTATGAAGAAGTAATACAAAAATACATGATTGAACTAATAGACTATATAGCACATAGTACTGACTCCCTGGGAAAGTCAGGCGAGCCGAAGGTGCTGAAGATAAAAGCAGACTTAAGCAACTTTAGTGAAGACTACATAACTGGCAAAAGATTAAAAGAGCTAGTGCGTCAAAAAAAAGACACGTTAGTAAATATAAAGAGAATGATAAATACTTCTCTTAGTAAAAAAGAGACAGATTTGAGAAAGTTGAAAAGAATAAGTGAACATGATTCAAAAACACAAGAAGAGAAGAATAAAAAGATGGAAAATCTAAATCGAGAAATCAATTCTCTAGAAAATGATTTTGAGCTAGTACAATGGGAAATACAAAGAGAAAAGAGCCACTATAATAAAACTCAGGAAATTCTATATGTAATAGAAAAGTTATCTAAAATGACTCCATTTCAGAAAAAATACTTAATCAAGAAGTTGGAAGAGTGTCTAAGCGCGCTAAACATAAAAATAGAAGTAACAGAAGATAGTACCAATGATATAGAAAAAAAGAAAGAATCTGTTAGTAATCCAGTGTTAGAGGTACTAGAGAAAGAAAAAGATAACGAAATAGAAAAAAAGGAAGATGATGACACTATAAAAACTAAAATAATAGAAGTAATCGAAGTAATCGAAGAAGATAGTGTAGAAGAAAGGAAGCCAGAGAATGATGACTGCATAGAACTGAAGGAGATAAAAGAAGTAGAGGAAAAAGAGGACAGAATAGAAGAAAGGAAAGATGATGCTATTATAGTACCCAAAGTGATAAAAGAAGCAGAGAAAGAAAACCCCATGCAACAAAATTCACCCAGAGTGGTATAGTTAAAATGCTTATACTGTGTGTTTTTTTTGTAATAGCATCGGTATTACTTCTTAAATTGCTAAAAAATAGGATGAAATCTGCTAGTATTAGCCATTGACTTGCAGAGAAGTATCATACTATAAATATACCCCAAGAAAAACGAACAGACATGGCATATCCTGATCTTGAGCTGACTTATTCTAAGTATCTCTAGGATCTAAAATAGATCACACCTAATCTTATGATCACTATACTATTACAGCTATGTTAGCATACTTTTCTTCCGAATAGATGATACTAGCAATAAAAAGAAAAATAAAAAAGTAAAGTTCTACCTATTCCTGTACACTTAATGTCTATTTATTTTCTTTTATTTTTCTTTTGTAATACTTATATTTATGTACGCATGAAGTACTGACAAGTTTTCATTCTTTAGTATTAAAACTACAGCACACTAGCAGTCTATCAAAAAACCAACTGTGTGTGCTATTTATTCATATGCCATTCAAACCATTGGTAAAAAAACAGTGATATACGCCAGATAAAAACCTCTATTTATTCCCATAAGTTTTTTTAATGATTGTACGCTGACATTAAAACATCAAGAATCTCGTTGTGTGCCCCGAGGTTGGACTTGCTGTTGTTCACATTGCGGAACACAATGAGCTCTGTCTGCTCGTCTGGTCTTTCAGACATCTCTTCGTGCAGCTCCCTGTGCAGGTCTTCAAGCCTTTTCTTTGCTATACTTTTCTTGGTATTGGCTGCATTCTTATCATTTTTCTCTTTCGTTGTACAGCTTCTTTTGTCCAGTACTCCTAGAACTTTCAGCTTTTCATCGGATTCCTTAAACTTTTCTTCCTCTTTTCTTATTTCATCTAAGATCGCCCTTCTATCATTCTTGATCTCATTCTTGCTCTTATTAACATTCACCAGCCAGGTGTATATTCTTTCCTCCAGATTCTTTGATCTTCTGTTTTCCTGGTCGTTATTGCGCAGCCAAACGCCCTGCAGCTCGCTGTCCTTGTTGTACTCCCTCGACTCCAGCACTTTAATGAAATTATTAAACTTGTCCAAGCTTTCTTTTTCTTTGAACTTTCTGTCAAATGTGCAGTGCGTGTACGCATTTACACCGCCCGTCATATTCACGTACCACACAGCTTTGGTAGAGCCTCTCTCGTTCGAAATGGCTTGGTAGTTCATGATGTAGCAGTTGAGAGTCTCTGCATTCTCTGCACTTGGCACTATGTATAGATTGCTGTAGTATCTGTAAACGTACGAGTATTCCTTCCCTATGTAATTGTAATTGTATTCGTACAAATCAGAGACCACATTTTCAAGCTCTATAGAGTCTATCTCTGCATGCACACCTATCATGATAAAGGGGCCGATCTCCATGGCCGACCGCATAAAAGGAGTAAGGAACAGCGGTATGCGGATATTTTTCAAGCTGTGCGTATGCGGGGGCATAAACTCTGCAAATGTGAACCTCGTTGTTTTTATATCTTCCTCGATTCGGTAAAAGACCACTTCGTACTCGTTCAGCTCTTTCACTGTTTTTCTTCTTTCTTCTCTCCTCTTGATGTACGACCACTCTCTTGTTTTTTTGTGCACCTTAAAGGGGTGTATGTGGTCTAGCTTTATTTTTATTCGATGCACCATTTTTATGTAGTTTACTATGCCTTCAATCGTGTGCAAATAATGCTCTTCTTTGCTCCCATCTTTTTTGTATATGGGCATGCACAGCATCCTGGACTGCTGTATTGCATTGTCCACATAGTACACGTGGTAGTGCGGTTCTACATCAAATGAAATCTTCCATTTGTCCATCTCAAATGAATATTCGGGGTAGGATATCTGTATAGAAGACCCGTCTGGTGCGTGTTCTAAGATTGCCTCGCATTTAACGTACATTTGATGCTTTATAACGCACTTGCCTGCCAAAATGTATTCATTGGCATCAAACACCTTCACTTTATCATAGAAATCAGCAAGAACTCTGTACATCTCATTGTACAGCTCAGGCGCTGTTGACTCTTTCTTTCCTTCTTTCCTGTATACACTCACCAGAGCACCGTGAAGTTTTTCGTAGGACTTTTCCGCTTTTTTATTATTCCCGGTTTTTTCATTCACCAATGTGTATATTGCCAGTAGAACTTGTTGTTTCTGCTTGTTGGTCGATGCGTCTACAGACATTTTAGTGTCTTTTATCAGGTTTATGCTGATGCTGGTAAAGTCGTGATGCACCTCAGGCAGAGCCAGAATCATGCGCAGAGCATACGCCAGAGCAGAGTACCTTTGGTCTATTTGGCTGATTGTGTCTTGATTTTCCAGCATACTGTAGTTTAGATCGAGGTTTTTTCGGATGTATAGATCGCCCAGGGTCTCTTTCCACACAGTCGGAGGAGACACTTTGGCAACTCTCAGCGACTTGTGCTTTTCCATGTATGCGAGCATATCGTCAATCACCCCCGGATAGTATCCTTCAAGATTCATTATGAGTTTCTTGTGTTTACTCTCCTTCTTTTCGCTAAGCAGCTCCTTCAGCCACAGAAGGTCTCTGTGCTTTGTGGCTATGTTTGTGGTTCTGCTGGCAATGAAGTACCACAGAGCATTCTGTTTTATCAGAGGAGCAGTTTTTGCAGAAAAACTTTCTATGTAGTTTCTGATCTTTGCTTGGTAGGATTTGTTCAGTATTTCCCGAGCCATAGAAGCGGTAAAGTTGCTGTATTCGTACCGGTATATTGTTTTATGCAGAGATTTGTAGCTCATTCTTCTCCCGTTTGTCAGTCTCGTGTTGTTCCACAGTTTGACAAAGAGACTCGACACTCTTCTGGCATTTTGGCCTGCATCCTTAGACGCTTTTGGCTGCTTCTCTTGGACTGTCTCTTCTTGGTCGCTTTCTGCTCTTTCAATCTCCTGTTTCTCACAGATGGAGTCAGACACCTCTTCCAATGACTCTCTTCTCTTCTTTCTCTTGTTCTCTGTTTTCTGCTGGAGACTAGAGGTATCTGCTGATCCGTCCACATTTTTTGATTTTCTTTTTTCTGCTCTAGCTCTTCTGGCACTAGTGTTCTTTTCGCTAGAGGCAGACGTAGAGGCAATACTGGGACTAGACTCTTCTACAGGCTCTGCAGGCAGAAAGTACCGGTTTATCCATGCATCTATTGGCTGAGATGCATCGTACATGGAGATATCTTCATCTGGCTTGATGCTATCAAAATCTGATCTTTCTCTACTTTCTTCACTTCCTGCTTTGCCTTCATTGGCATACAGACTAGCAGAGTCTTCTAGCTGATCAAAAGTATTTTCGTATGCACTTGGCTGTCCCATGCACTGCTGCTGTATATATTCTCCACCCTGCTCTTCTGTTCTCTGCTGTCCTTCAAAGGCCACGCGCTCATTCTGAGCTGAGGCACACATGTATGGGCTAGTAGAGAAAAAGTCTGTGCCATCTGTTGTATCCCCCTGTTTTGATGTGCTAGGCACAGCATATGCTGGATTGGTAGAGTACCTGATAACACTAGACCCTGGCATGAATAGATGCTCGTATCTGTGCTGATGCCCGAGCTCACTGTTTGCATTAAAATTTTGTCTACCGTATTCTTCATAAGGAAAAATACCTGCAGAGTCTTGCATAGCAGGAGAAATACCTATGATGCCATTGTTATCTGTAGACATCTCTGCATCTCTTGATGTGCTGGGCATGCTCTCGGGCATACCGTGTTCTACTGCATACGGGCCAGGCTGAGCGTACTGGCCTGCCATATCATTTGTTCTACTACCCGAGTCATACCCGCTCCAGTAGAATTCATTCGTAGGTATTGTGAAAGAAGGATGGTCTAGGTCAGTCAGTACATTCTCAGCCCTGTCTGCTCCTGTCCATGGGTCTGCACCGCTGAATATGTGCCCGTTAAAAGGGTTTTCGCTGCCTCTGCACTTTGTGATAAAGAAAGTAAGGGCGATGCTTACCGCATTCAGTATTTTCTTTCATTCCTGACTTTTCATGCTGAAAATATCATTTTTTTATTTATAATTTTCAGTTGCCACCTTACTCTTCCATGCATTTTAGGGGACATTCTTGCCAGGTAATTTGTAGATATGCCATTACAGCTGCTCTCTTGTCGATCTTCCTATCTGTCTTTCTGCTGTGTATTGCTAGACCCTTGTGTCCATTATTTCTTGATGCTTAAAAGGAAGGAAAAGAGCACACATTATACACTGTTTTTTGTACAGGATTATTTATTGTTTAAGCCTTTAGAACCAGCCCATCTTCTGGATAAGTTATCTACTAGCTAAGTGCTCTATGTTTTGAATAGAAAATAAGAACATTAATACTTCTTTGTTACTACTATATAAGTATAAAAAATAAAAATAAAATCTTTCCGCCTTGAGGAGCCTCCAATCCTTAAAATATTTTTTTGCAATTAAAATTTTGCAATATGGCGATGAAAGAAGTTAAACTGGAGATCAATATTGAAGGAATACTAAGAGAGTGCCAGTCTCTTGATAGAAACGATATATCCATCACATCAGTTGAAGAGATAAACTATATGAACATACTGAAGCGCATCCTTAAAGATAATCTAAAAATAGAAAGTAAGGAGCTTAGTGAGGAGAAGAAGGAGACTATTCTAAAAATAATCAAAAATGATATCTGTCAGCACCTTACATACAGTTTAAATGAAGATTATATGACTCAATTTATGTCATATAAATTACTGAGTGGAGTCGAAGAAAAATTTAAATATGCATTCACCTTCCTAGCTAATACACTTATAAACCCAAATCCGCTTATATACAACTCTGAGCATGGAATAAATAGACAGTTTGATATGCATGGAAAGATAGATAGTGTAGATCTATCTAATGGAGAGCTTGATTTAAGCACTAAAACATGCACTTTGATGGTTGATGATACAAACTTGGAAAATATACTCCAACTTACCTCAGAGTGTCTAGATAGAGAGAATGCTTATTCTGTCTTGAGTTTAATGCGTTTATTGAATATGAATCTTTTTAGAAAGTATACATCTGTAAAAGGATGCTATAGTCTGGACGATCTATACACTAAAGAAGAAAACAAAGTTCCATTGATAGACTACGGACTGAAGCTTATTTACGAGAAATATCATTTAATCGAGCGTCTAATTAAGTACATCAAAGAAATGGAAAGTCCTAGCAACAACAATAAAGTACAGGATATACCTGAAAAACTTAGCAAGTTGTTTAAAAAGGAAGAGTTAGAGGTCGTCTTCTCTATCCTCAATAACGAAGGAGGAATTATATATAAAAAAATGATATACAACAATATACTTAACATATTAGACTACATGGCAAGCAACACCGATATATTGGGTGGTAAAGGTGAGCAAAAGGTGCTGAAGATAAAAGCAGACTTGAGCAACTTTAGTAGAGACTATATAACTAACCGTAATGGCTTGTTAGAAATAATGTCTGACAAAGTAAAAAAACTACGTGATGAAAGGAGAATACTATATATATCTGTTAGTAGCGAAGAAAAAAAGTGGAATACAAAAGAAAAGAGTCTGACAGAGTGGAAAAACACAACTGAGCTTAATCCAAACTCGCAAGAGTACCAGAAGGTAGTGAGAAAAGAGGAAGAAGAGATGAAAAGTATACTACGTGAAATTAATTTCCTAAATAATAAGATATTTTTATCAAATCTTGATATTGACAAAGCAAGATTAATTTGTAGTGATATTGATATTCTTCAAGCTTACTTAAATATATTAGCTAACTTAAGTCCAGCCCAGAAACAGTACTTGCTCAAGAAGATAAAAGAACTTGCAAAACTACTGAAAGTACAAGTGGTGGTAACCGATGAGGCAGAAGCAGCAGAAAAAATGGAGGTGAATGAGCCAGTTGAGCAGCACCAAACACTTGAAATGTCCAGTGAAACAGGGTCTAATCCAGCAGGCGCATCAGCCCGGACAAGCACCCTTGGAAAAGTGTTAGCTGGCGGTCTTCTTGTACTTGGATCAATGGCATATGCATGCCAACCATCATTCGAAGAGCAAGCCAACAACTGCTGCAAACAGTGACAACAATAGTTTATATCACGTCATGGATAGCAGCCAATTACGAAACATGGACAGCCACAATATATCTTGAGCTACCTGGCCCCAGCCAGCTACTATCAAAATAAATTAGTTTTAGGTTTTGAGCACTTCTACTATTACATCTTTTATGTCTTTTGTGCAGACAACTTTTTACCATCTTTTAACTTTAAACATTTAATTGTACTTCACTATGCTCTAGTTGAATATAGTAATGCGTAATAAAAATAAAAATAAAATTTTGCTGCCTTGAGAAATCCCATGCCTTTTAAATATTTTTTTTTAATTAAAATTTTTAGAATGACCAAAAGGGAAGTTAAGTTGAAGGTAAACGTGGAAGGAATAGTAAAAGCCTGCCAGTCCAGTGAAGTTAAATCAATGTTTCGATCAAAGTTTCCATCAGAAAGATTTTTTCCTATGCTTAAGAAGATACTTGACAAAAACCTAGAAATAGAAGGTGAGTACAGTGAGGAAGAAAAAGAGGACATCCTAAATATAGTTAAGACTAGAATATATGATTGCTCTGTATACCATTTTTCTGCGCTAGATACAGATAACTTGTATTATGCATTGGAGAAGGAGAATAATGATGACTTTATTAAGGAAAAAGCTATTGCTTTAATCAATAGCATTATAGGACAGAATCCAGCTATATACAATCCAGAGCATGGCGTTTGTAGAAAGAATAACTCTGCAGATGCTGTCGGTGACGATCTAAGCCCTATAACATGCACACTGGAGATTGATGATGCAAAGTTCTCAAACTTGAAGGGCATGCTTCATTTCACCTCAGAGATCTTAGACCGAAAGCTTTTATGTTCTATGTCTTTTGGGTGCTCATTGATGGATGACTTAAAAGTTTATCTATCGGGAAAAACATACTACACTCTAGACGAGCTGTATACTAGTATGTATAAAAATACTGATATACCGCTGGTAGACTATGGACTGAAGCTTCTTTTTAACAAATATCAAGAAATGGAGAACATAATTAAGGAGAATAAAACAGAAGGAGCTGATGCTGAAAATAAGCAGAAGATAGTTAAAGAAATTAGTAATTTGTTTATCTCAGAAGATCTAGAGATAGTTCTTTCTATTATAGATAACTCTAGGAATATTCACTATGAGAAAAACGCACGAGACTACATGACCCAAGCATTGGAATACTTGGCAAATGACACTGCATTCTTGAAGGAAACAGATGACGGGCCAAACATTCTAAGGCTAAAAACAGACTTAACTAACTTTTATGAAGATTACGTGGTGAATAAGGATAAGAATCTAAAGAAACTCGTAGATAAAAGGAAAGATAAATCTAGTAAAGAAGTAGAAGCTAATCCAAAAAATGCTACGTATCTATTAAAATATAATGGAAGAAAAGAACTAATACAGGATTATACCAATGCAAGATTTTATCACAATCAAAGATTCTTAACCAGATTAAGTCCGGTTCAGCAGCAATACTTGCTCAAGAAGATAAAAGAACTTGCAAACATACTGAACGTACAAGTGATAGTAGCAGATGAGGCAGAAGCAGCAGAAAAAATGGAAGTGGATGAGCCAGTTGAGCAGCACCAGACACTTGACATGTCAGGTGAAACAGAGCCTAGCTCAGCGGGTGCATCAGCCCGGACAAGCAGTCTTGGAAAATTATTAGTTGGCAGTCTTCTTTTACTTGGATCAACGGCATATACTAGCCATCGTTACTCAAAGAGCAAGTCAACAACTGCTGCAAACAGTGACAGCGATAATTTATATCATGTCATGGACAGCAGCTAATTACGAAACATGAACAGCCATAACATATCTTGAGCTATCTGGCCCTAGCCAGCTAATATCAAAATAAATTAGTTTTAGGTTTTGAGCACCTCTATTGCGTCACATCCAATACTTGAATATTTTTGTGTTATTTTTTTACATTTTATTCTGGTAAAAACTCTTGGGCTCTACTGCTCACAGTTGCACACTTATTTGTTTTACAGCTCTCTCTCTTTTACTTCAGCAGCTAGCATCTACTTTGAAGAAAACCTGCTTAAATGCAATGCTCTGCCCTGCTACATAAATAGAAGAACAATCATTTGGTGTTCTCTGGTGAATGATGATCTAATAGCTGAGCACACTTGAAAAGACCTCTAAACAAAAGTGTTAATGAAAATATAATTCAAGAAGAAAAAGTAAAAACAATATACACACAAGAAGAGAGGAAGAAAGAAAAGGCGTGCGGCCATATGCTCGCGTTCACACCAGATCCCGTTTGATCTCTGAAGTTAAGCGCGTGACAGCTTTGATAGTACTGCGATGGGAGACCGCGTGGG